GTGGAGCCTAATGTGTCCACATGAATCTCCTGGCTTATCTGATGTTTGGGGAGATGAATTTAAAGAATTGTATACTAGGTATATATTAACAGGTTTTTTTTTTATAAATTATTCAGTTACAATTATTTGACATTATAATTTTTCATACACTAACATGTAAAACACTTATAGATATGAAAAGGAAGGTCGTTATAAAAAACAAGTGGAGGCTAGATCTGTATGGCTCGCCATTCTCAGATCCCAAGTAGAAACTGGAACACCTTATATGCTTTACAAAGATCATTGCAACCGAAAATCGAATCATCAACATATAGGCACTGTCAAATGCAGCAACTTGTGCACCGAAATTATTGAATATTCTGGTCCTGGAGAAGTCGCTGTATGCAATTTAGCATCTATCGCTGTCAACATGTTCGTTAATATAGACACCAAAATTTTCGATTTCGATAAACTTAAAACAGTCGCAAAAATCGTCACTCGTAATCTAGATAAAGTCATCGATGTTAACTTTTATCCTATCGAAGAAACGAGAACATCTAATCACAGACACAGACCTATTGGTAAGATTATTTCCATATAATTAATACGAGATAGAATGATAAAACTGAAAAAGTGTATTTTAGGTATAGGAATACAAGGTCTAGCCGATGCGTTTCTGTTAATGCGATATCCCTTCGAGAGCAAAGAAGCGAAAGAACTCAACATTAAAATCTTCGAAACACTTTATTATGGTGCCTTAGAAGCTAGTTGTGAATTAGCTGCGGAAAAGGGTACTTACGAGACATATCAAGGTAGTCCAGTCAGTAAAGGCGTAAGTATTTAATCATAGAACGTATCGGAACACATTGCAGTTGAATAATAATTTTTTTTTTTCAGATTCTCCAATATGATATGTGGAACGTTAAACCGACAAATTTATGGGATTGGGATGAATTGAAGGCGAAGATCGCGAAGCACGGAGTAAGAAATTCTCTTTTAATAGCACCTATGCCAACGGCCTCGACAGCACAGATTTTAGGGAATAACGAATCCATTGAACCGTATACAAGCAATATATATGTGAGGCGCGTATTGTCTGGAGAATTTATTATTGTCAATCCGCATTTACTGCGAGATTTAACCAGTAGAGGTCTATGGGACGAAGATATGAAGAACGAGATACTCGCGAATTTTGGATCTGTTCAAGTAAACACCTTTAAATATCTCTTACATATTCTTGTTATTCAAATTATTTAAGCATAATTCTAAGGAAGCGTATATGTGCATTTTACAGAACATCGAACGCATTCCCGATGATTTGAAAGAGCTTTACAAGACAGTCTGGGAGATACCGCAAAAAGTAATTCTTGAAATGGCGGCTGATCGAGGAGCTTTTGTTGATCAGTCACAATCTCTAAACGTTCATATAGGAGATCCGACAACGGAGAAGCTAACATCAATGCATTTTTTCGGCTGGAAAAGTGTAAGTGATGTTACCAATTAATTTACCTGTTTCGAAATTTTTTAAATTTTGTACGTTGTTGAGGTAGATGACTAATTCTTATAAATTATTTTAACATCTTTTCATCATACAGAGTAAATAATTTTTAATGAATAAATTCTGTATAAAAATAAAATTGTCGCTTACAGGGCCTAAAGACTGGCATGTACTATCTGAGAACGAAACCAGCTGCAAATCCCATACAATTTACAGTGGACAAGTCAAAATTACAGAATCGCGATTCCGTATCGAATGTTTCCGATGCCAGCACTTCTGTTGTCAACAGTACTCCTATTCAGTCACCCAACCAAGACAGCGATGACGATGCCGAAAAACGAAAACAATTAAGTACACAAGCACGTAAAAACTTGGACGCGATGCTTGCTTGTTCGCGTAAGAATAAGGAGGACTGTATGGCATGCAGCTCTTGAGTATTTATTATTTTTAAGTTTGTATCGAAAATACATAAGCAGTGTTTTATTTTTGTAAATTATTAGAAGCATGTTTTTGGAGTGTATATTCTAAATTTAATCCCATTATTAAACGAATAAATAAAAAAAAACCATTAGTAAAATTAAATAAAATTAAAATCGATTAGAAGAATTTGTAAGTCTAAATTAGAATTTCGTTTTTCTATATATAAATGCTTCCATTTTTCTAAAATATTTTTAAAAATATCTAGCTTTATTCTTTAAAATGAACTTTGAAATATAAGTGTTAAGAAAAAAAATATATATACATATATATTTTTATGCAAGAATAGGAAGTTACTTTTACTATTTCTTTGCCTCTTTTACCTAGTCTTAGTTTTCAGTTAGTTATCTTTATCGTCATAAAAAATTGCACCGTTCTTATCAAATCATTATTTTAAAAAGAAACGGTAAAAGTAACTTTCCATTTCTGTTTTTATGTATGCGAAATATATCTTTTTTATCGAATTATATATATATAAGGTTGATTTTAACATATTTCGTCACCCATCATGAGTAAGTAAAGTGAGAAAATATAAAAATCATTTATTTTCTTCTCATAAAGTTCTGAGAATT